TGGACGCACGTACAACGAAGAATAAATACGACTCTTGGCGGATGGCAACGACTTTCCTTCACCGAGTTGATACGACCAATCTTGGGCAGCATTGCAGCAGCCAGAAGAAATGAAATTCTTAAATTGTTTATAAAATACATCAACTAGGGGAATTTACGTATTCTCGGCAACCTAAGCAGCTACCTTCTTTCTATAGCCTTTTTCTCTATGGAACGCACACATATGCAGTATTGGTTTGTTTACAATCTTTTGCTGCCAGCTGCTCTAACAATTTCAGTCGAAAGAATTGTCAAAAACTGTTTTGAAACGCTTTTACAAAGCTCCAATCTTCTCTAGTGAGAGCGAGTATTGTCGGCAACCAGTTTTTCTTCGGCAACCGTTCCATTTGAACTGCATGTAAATCTGCTGTTCTATTATCGGCAACTCGAAATCAGCTACAATTTGTAGTGCGTGAGTTGCATTTCAAGAAAACCTTGCTAGATTGCATTTTCTCAGTGGTAAAAATATAGTCAAATTGAAGCTGAAAGCATAAAGAATCGTTTGCATGCATTCAGCGAAGTGTTTTAGTAAGAAAATCAAGTGAAAATAGTATTTCAATTTGTGTTGCCGAAAATAGTCTGTCATGCCGAAGCCGTCATTTCCCCTATATTAATGCAAATATTAATAACAGAATAGATGTAGGTGAACTAGAATTCCTTCTAAATTTAGAAGAGTAATATTTTTTACAAATTGAATGTGATATCTATTAGCTAAAAATAAACAAACTATATTTTACAAAAAAAAAAAAAAAAAATTAAAATAATAGTTTGCCTTGCCATAATTAAAAAATAATATTGGAGAAAGTGGAAATGTAACCAACAAGAAAATAAAATACAAAATAGCCTTGCCGCCTTTTGATTGAATAGCAGTTCCAGAGTTTCTATTTAGCCAGCTGAGATGAACCAGTCTGTGGCTGAAGATCTCCCATATAAAGGAAATCAATCAATATATTTAGCCGTAGTCCCCTCCAGTAAACCTTTCTAGCTACACCAATGTACGTTTGTTCTCGATAACGATACAATCTATCGACTTAATTTGAATCACATTATCCGTTTCAAGTCTTAGGTAATCTAATGACTGAAATATAGGGTTAACTACCCCATTTCCGGCCTATTAAGCACAACCCGCACTTAGTCTTTCTTAATCTAGCGCAGTTTAGCACCAAACGGAATGTTATTATTACTGATGGCTTCCAAATGTATTTACCTTTCCGTATGTACCGTAAGATTTGATAAAGAGAAACCAATCGTTGAGATATTGTCAAAAGTCTAACATTGCTTCTTGACGCCAAACTCGGCCTACGGATTCTAAACTCGGCCTAACACATTGAAACGCCATTGAAATGCCAATGAATCGGATGAAGATAAAAATGGATTCCGTCGGAGCGCTTATTATGTTTTTGGGAATAATGGGTGCAAACCTTCATACCACGCATTCTCATTAACTTCGTTCCGTAATAAGCTAAAGTTTCGTACCAAACGCATAACTTATTAACTCTGAAATCATGGATTTATTTGAAGTTTTCTGCTCGATAGGCCCAAAAAGGGCGATTAGGCCGAAGTAGTTCTCTACCCCATCAAACTTTTTTCGAAAGCATTTGTAGAACTGTCATCAGTATGAATTCATGAACATCAGTAAAAGTAGTCAATTAATAAAACTAGGTTCAGGACTTCTAAGAAGCTTCGGTAACCAGCATTATAAGTAAGATGATCAAGGCATTCTAAATCATGATGGTGCACAAGTAAATTAGGAATTCCCTAACTAGGCGGCGCTAGTGTACATGTGAACTTTCTGTATCTATAAGCTATATCTTGAAATCCTCACCCTCTACGAAGTCAGGAAATCTACGAGAAGTCCACACGTAGTCTAATGTCACGTAGTGAGAGAATTCTGAACTAACTAGTCCACAAATTTGAAGACATTGATCACCTGAACAACTGTTCCGAAGACGGAAGCATTTCAAATAGTTACGATCTCAAGATATATTTTATACAGGAAATTGACTTGCACATTAGCGCCGCATAGTGAGAAAATTCTGTACTACTGTTCTCTATCCGTCTCCTGTGCAATTTTGCCGAAGACAGTAACCTTTTATATGGCCAGGATCATGATATATTCCACCCCTTACCCCTCAAGCGAAAAGAAAATTTTCTGAAAATCAATGTAATTAAGGTTACTTTGTTCCCTTAAGTTTTGCAAACAAGTACCACCATGTCAGTAACAATAAGAGTTTTTTCACAGATGGGTCAACTATAAACGCTTCCACTGGATTTGGATTATTCAACGAATTCCATAGCGCCTCATATCAACTGCAAAAACCCTGTTCCGTATACGTTACGGAACTAGCAGCCATATTCTACACAGTAGAGCAAATTGCCTCACTACCATCTGATCACTATTTTATTTTTACTCATAGCCTTAGCTCGTTGGAGGCTATTCGATCAATGAGACCGATGAAGCACTCCTCTTATTTCCTGACCGAAATCCGAGCTAAATTGAGTACTTTATCTAACTGCTCCTATACTATCACCTTAGTTTGGGTCCCATCTCATTGCTCAATTCCGGGTAATGAGAAAGCGGACTCGCTAGCTATGGAAGGCGATATTTTTGATCGACAAATCGCCTTTGCGGAATTTTCATCGTATCGATCTGAGGATTTAGTAGTTAGTGTCATCTTGCTAGGTCTCCATCGGTGTACCCCCATGTTTGTCTTTTTCTCCAGTATGTCGCTTAGTTCTAGATCAAGAGCACATTGCTCGAAAAAAAACCTTGTGTTCTCAATCCCTAGCCTACAACCCGTTTGTTATAATTTGTTACCCCCCGAGATAGCCGCGAGTAATCGGCCCCCGCTTTTCTAACGTTAGTATTAAGAAATTTTGCAATCTAAACAATGAATATCGGCTCCGCAAAGCTACGGCAAATGAACGCATTATAAAAAAAGGTTACTTTAACGCATACATTTTACACAGTTTTGGTTAAATTTTAGTTCAAGCTTAGGGTGGCCGTCTTACCCGTTGTGACGTGCAGTTTTTTAACGAATTTTCATCGTCACCGCTATTCACAAAATTCAATTCTTGTCGGATTGTCCTGAAAATTCGGATTTGAGGCTAAAATTTATGAAAACAATTTCAATTACGACCGGCTTCGCCCCACTCACGACCCAAAGGTTGAGAAACGCTAGGTTACTGAATTAATGGGAAACGCATTCGCCACTATTTGCCCTCGTTTGGTTTAAGAAACATAGCATGTTCGGAATCAATTGAAAATAAATACGATCACTATGTTAAATAACGTTCTAATAACGCATACGTTAGCTCATACCTCCACGCTTCCGAATCAAAACGAGATAAACTGGTGCGTCATAAAATCAAGATTCCAGACTGCAAGCTGCAGGTGCAACCTATTAGCGTCACCATTAAACATGATTTGTCATCCCGTTGATCACTCTCAACAATTTAGGAAACTTACCTAACCAATCCACCGTTTCCTTGTGCACCCACGATTGCCAATGACAGGAACAGAAAGCTTTTATCACCCTATCGAGTCGTTATTGTTATTGTTATGGCCGCCGAAATGCAGTGCTTACTACGATTCTAATCCACGTGTTCCTCCAATTCGTGCGCACATTAACTAAGGCTTAACTGAGAACTCGTTTGTCATCTCCCACCGACGCAATATGACAGTTTTCACTTAATTTGGCCACGTTTGTTTGTTCACTGCTTTGGAAACAACCCTAAATACGATCGAAAGCTCCCCCAGATACGAACGCTAATGGATTCTCGAAACTTTATCCATGGATTTATCGCTTTATTGCAGCGCATGGGCACTGGACAGTGGTTGAAATTGAACAGTTCCTCGTCAAATGACGAATCGAAAAAAAAAACTCGACCTTCCCAGATTTGTGTAAAACTTTGCATAATTGTGTGCTATGGGCAATCATTCACATTTTTACAAAAAATTGGCGATTTTGGAGGCTGGAAATTTTTTCAAAATGGCGTCTGTAATTTTTCAATAAATTGCAGCACGAAAACGTCGTTTTTGATCGAAATGACGTCTGAGACAAAGTTGTTTCTCATAAGATACTATATATGTTTTTAAACTTAGTAAAATTGTAAAATAGCACTAAACGAAAAGTTTACCGCCCCGAGAATAATTTTTTTCCGGCAATCATCGGAACTATCAACTCTATACTTCCATCTCCTCATCTATCGTATAAAAATTACCACTTTAGTCTGCTATTTGAAATTAGCATCTTCAACTATGTAAATCGTTAACTTCACGCAGCAGTATTACAAACAATTCAGGCGTAACATTTGATAACGGCACAAAAACATTTGTGAACAAACTTTCTAATGCCCTTTACACGCGACCCAAAGTACGCCCACGCAAACTAATACCACTTTCCGAAAGGTGAGAGTTTCCCCTATCCGATGATGTTGTTGGTTGGCATGTAAAGGGCTTTAAAAAGTTTGTTTACAAAAGCTTTTGTGCCGTTATCAAATGTTACGCCTGTCAAAAGCTTAAGAGAATTTATGTTTTCAGATTTTCGATCTACAAGGTTGGTATCCTCTCAAAAGTTGTAGAAAATATTCTTGAAAACAACTTTTTCAAAGACACCCAGTTCGGATCTTTTTTCCTTTTTCAGATTGCCTCAAAAATGTCTTATTAAGGCGCTAACCATCAAGCGCCAGAAAATAACAATTTCAACCACCGTGCGCACTGAGTCCCCTTGTAAAATCGTTTCTTTTCTTTTTGCTCAGATTTCGTCTGCCCTTGCGGAGATTAAGCTTGATGAACGAGGGAGCTCAATTTATTTTAACGATTATCGTTTAAAGTTAATGCATTTCGGGGTATGATTATTGCCCATTTCTCCCCACCGGATCGAGACTCAGCCACTCGACAGTTGAATTGTCCCAATAAAATTTCACAGGTTTCATTCTTTTTCTTCTTCCACTTTTCAGGGTCCCACTGGTCCACCTGGCAAGAACGGTCTTCCGGTATGTATTCTGTTTAATTTTCCATCAACTCCGACGTTCAACTTCCAACCGCATCATCATCCTAGTAGGTCATAAATTATAATTACCGCTTAAAAGAAGCGTCATTTCTTGAGTAATGAAAAAATAAACATTTCAGGAGTGAATTTTCAAATAGCCGTAAGCAAAGATTCAAACGTCAGTTTGTCGAGACTCTTAGCTTCTTCGAACAAACTAACACCGCCATCAGGTAGGGTTAATTTTTCCCCAATATTAAGGTGGCCTTAGTTTGCGTGGGTGACATTTAAATCTTTGCTCACGAAAGCAGATACGGCTATTTGAAAATTCACTCTTGATTTATATTTTAAAAGCATTCACGCCTCTGTTCATCCCACCATTTTTCTCTCTCTCTTTATGCAACCCTGCAGCAGCCTACTGCGATCAGCGTTTTATTTTCAATAAACGTCGTCCTTCTCGCACATTGCACTGAACAAAAACCGCACATCGATTTCATCAGATACCACCTGGACATACACACCCAGTCACTGAGTTATGACATATTGCTTCGTTTCGATTAAAACAACATATTCCCCCTCCCGCTCATCGTTGGCGCAAGTTATTATTGGAGAGCGCCCACAGAAAAAAAATAAAACAATATTCGCAGAATCCCACCGAAAAAAATAAAAATAAAATAAATAAATATCGATAACATATTTCCGCGACAGGTTGTTGGGGTGTACTAATGTGTTTTCAGAAATTGATATTTATACGCCATTCATTATGGGTCTGTCCTGTGTGCGTTTCTTTTTCCGTTTTTTTAAACATGAATGAGCAGCGAAGGCTCAGGAAACAATACCCACGGGGACCTCCTGTTGATGTGGTTTTTCAGCTTGATCTGGGAGGTAATTTTAATAACTGAAAGAGGATTTTTTTTATGTGTTCAATGGTGAAGGTCTTTTTCACCTGATTGTGTCTTGTTGCATCCGCACTAGAGGTAGATAGACAGGTTGAGCCCCGAGAAAATGGAAAAAGCTGTTGCCGGCATTCAATTGAAAATTTTCGCGGATCAGTGTCTATACATAAAAGCGGGCAGCCTTTTTTCGGGGCTTTGCTAGAGCTAATTGTGGGTGGTAGGAATTTATTTTTAAAACAACAATCAGCCAAATTTGATATGCAGGAAAATTCAATCATTTTGTATCAGAAAAGTGATCGAAGTTTGGATTGCCATTTCACCTTACTTATTATACTCAAACTCGATATTCCCAATATTTTTCCCATACAATTTTCACCGTAACGTAAAATCGCCCCCTTATCCGACGGTTCCTATCGTGTTAAGGGCGGTTTAATTTGCATACGAAGATAAACAAAATTTTGATTTACACACCGAAAACCGGAATTGATTCCATGTTTACCTCGACTGCAAAAATATCCGAAAAGCCAAACATCCCACATATCAATGAACAATATTTATCGATCATCCAAGCAAGCAAGCAATCAGTATTTAAAAAAAAATCGCAGTCACCTTTGTTTTGCTGGACGGGTGAGCGGGTGGGGTGGAGGATTCTGTCCAAGCGATCGCTGAATATTAAATAACTTTCGGTCGCATTTTAATTACCGCCTACTGCGACCGAATCGCCCGAAGGTGCCTTGATGCAGCGGCAGCCAATTCGACAATGTTCGTTCGTGTGCGGGAAGGACGACGTTCGAATAAAAATCAAACCCACTCATTTTTCATTATCGCAGATTCTCTTCCCCCCATTCATTCCCTCATCTATTTCATTTTTGCTCTCTTTTCTCTTCCTCTTCATTCGCGTATCAAAAACATGCCAAATTGCACGTGTAAATTCGCACGAACCATCTGCACGGCACGCAATGCTCGATGCTTGAATAATTGCTTCGGACCCTGCCTTGTGATGACCACCCGATGGGCACGCAAATTTTGACAAAACCGAAATCAAAATCCGACTGCTTGCCAACAAAACAACATCATAATCATCACCGTCATCGTCCATGACCCGGAAAAAAATAGGGTCTGAAAGGAGCGAAGGGAGACCGAGGATCGATGGTAAGATTTACAGAGATGAATTTGTGTGTGTTTTTTTTTTTCGTTTCGTAATTATTTTAAAATGAGTGTGTATTTAACTATGATTTTATTCTCGTTTAACTCGTTGCACTAATTATAGCTTCCCACTTTCCCATTCCCGAGCGTTGCGCTTGATTAATGGAGCCGTTTGCTCCCATCGTCCTCGTCCTTCCTTTCATCCTTCAGTGCAACATGAATGGATGTGTTGGGATGAGTTTTTATCCCATTTCGGATTGCGTGAATAAATAAAAAATTAATCCGATTTCCATGCACGTAAACACATTTCGCTCGCTTTTCATTCATTTTTAACTTTATAACTGATTCAATCTTGCAGTTTTTTTTTTCGCGTTTGCCAACTTTGCTTCGTGTAATCCTGCTCGAAACTGTGTCATCGGTGATTTTTTTAATCAACTTCGGTTTGAGGATTTTCCTCTGATCAATCTGCACAGTAGGCCATGCGTTTTATCTAGTAAATTGAAATTTCAAATTCAAACTACCGGGCCTGCTGCAGTCTTTGATGGACTACAACTCTATTTTCTCAATCACTTCGCACCTTTTCGACTGCATCGAACCGAACGAATCGATCTGTTTACAGCTAGAATACATTAAGATTTAACCTACATTCCAGTTCGTCAAAGTGTATATCCCACAGAAGCAGCAGTACCACCACAAATCCCACATTCATCTTTCCACAGTTTACGATTCTTCTGGATTAACCTAAATAAATATGCGCTTAGGCACCGAACCAATATCCATTCCATGGCGAGGGGGTCCGCACATACATCAATTCGAAACAGTCATTTTTTTTCCAACTCCCATCAACATTCAAACTGCACTCTTCTAAACCAGCAGCCTACTTGGTTCGGTGTGCGTAAAAATGACCCACTGCCTACCAGATGAGCTTCTCCCGCACCCCGAAGGGCTAATCGTTTGTTTATTATTGCTGGGAATGATTTCAAAACAGACACAGGCGGCGGTGGACTGCGTTTTCCGCTGTGAGCGTCGTAGTAGAATCGTAGCAATCGGTCGGTTAGGTGGATTTTTTTTTCTCCATCAAATCGAATCGACTCACAGCTAGCAATCAATCAACGCACCAATCCGGAGATTGAACGGGTTTTCACTCACGGTGATGGATTTTGAAACCGGGCGTTCTTTGACAATGTCAGTTTGTGATGCAATTTGTGGGATATGATTCCTAATCTAGTTTGATTTGAATTTATTGCTACAGAGCAGTTCCACGCCAAATGAGGAATCGGGGAAAAAACTTGAGCTTTTCCGATCTGCATGAAATTTTGCATAATTGTTTGCTATGGGCAATGAATCAATTTTTTTTTTCTGAAATTCAGTCATTTTGGATCTTGTAAAATGTTGAAAAAGGCGCCTTTGAAATTTTTCAAAAAAATTCAGCATGGAAACGACACTTCCAAGGAATTACAAATATCTCTCAAAATGATAAAAAGACAAGCGATCAAGCAATAATGATTTGTTTCTAAATTAATTTATATGTACAGGCTTAATTGAATAAACTTTACAGAGCTAAGTTGTCATTTGTGTTATACATAATTAATGTCTTACATTTAGAGTTAAGGGAACTGAACCTGAATACTCGCGGTCGTCTCGAGGCTAGGGGAGATTTACAATTTTTTACACTCAAAAAATTCCACACGTCATCATCATATGTCTCACACCTAATTTTGCGCATATTGTGAAACACATCCATTTCATGTGTGAATCTTATGCTATGAACCATGCCTGAACACTATGGATTTGAATTGTGACACACTTGGATTCTATGTGCCTCATATGGTGATATCAAAAGCTTTTATTTATTTATTTATTTATTTATTTGTCGTCAATCAGTGTAGACCGTTTTACAATTGTTGTCTTAAGTGCTATTTTTACAATTTTGTCTTTGTTTATATTTTTTATAATATGTCTTAAGAAAAAGTTAAAACATTACTTCTAGTTGACGTTATGCGACGAATTAAAATATTGCTTTAATTTAGTTTTTGTCATTGTAAAGTCAATGTTATCGCAGTGCTTATTATATGTATCCATCATTTGGTTCAAGGGTCCAAATTTGGCATAATTCGTACGATGACGATTTGTAGCAAATATATTTCTGTTTCGTAAATGCCTAGATGGTGTATATAAATTTAAGGATGACAATAGTTCTATTGAATCAATTCGATGTGATACGATATCGTTTACGAAAGAAATCATAGCAAATTCACGACGTTCTTTTAATGTTTGGATATTTATGAGCATACACCGAGCTGTGTAAGATGGCAGAGGAAATACAGTCCAACCTAACTTGCGGAGTGCATACAACAGAAACTGCTTTTGAACGGACTCTATTCTTTCTTCGTGTGTGATTGAAAAAGGTGATCAAACTATGCTGCAATATTCTAATATCGATCTTACATAAGCAATGTACAATGTTTTTATCGTATACGGATCGTGAAAGTTATAGCAGAAACGTTTTATGAAACCAAGCATGTTGTTAGCTCTGTTAATAATTGTGTTATAATGATCGGTGAAAGTAAGTTTTGAGTCCAAAATAACACCTAGATCCCTGACTCTATCACATTTTTCTACGATCTGGTTTCCTAAAGTGACTGTTATATCGGGTAGCTTTTGTTTTCTACTAATGGTAATGGAGTTACATTTTTTTATATTTAATTGTAGCAGGCTTTTTTGACACCAAGTATGGAATATTTGAATTTCCTCTTTGAATGTGATGATGTCTTTGGCATCTTTTATTTCCAAAAAAAGTTTAATGTCGTCAGCATATATTAAAACTTTCAATTTCTTAATAATGAAAGATATGTCATTGACGAAGAGAATAAATAAAAGTGGTCCTAAATGGGAGCCTTGAGGAACTCCTGAAGTGACATCAACGGGATTTGATATCTTTCCTTTGTATTTTACTATTTGATGACGGTCAGTTAACCTTTGCACACCATAGTTCAATATTCTACAATATTCTACTTTATCGAATTCTACTTTACCGACTCTAAAAATGAATCGACAATATATATAAACAAAACTGCCAGAGGCCAGAGCTTTCACATATATTTTTAATGGGTCTAATTTGGGATTCAATCATGGACTGTTGGGGTATGCTGCTGCCGGAGTCTTCGTTCGATCTCACTTTGCCACGGTTGTTCTCATATATGAGGCAGGTTGATAGGATAAAGTCACAACTCTTGTTATAGATGTTTACCTTTTTGAGCAAGCAATTCACATCGTATTGAAATGCAAAACACATTAAATCCATCTGTTTTGAACAGTAGCGTGATTCAATGTGCAATACACTTGAATAGATAGTGAAAGATTTTTAACCTTTCAAAGTTTGAAACACTATAAATTAACGTGTATAACACATTGAACCAAGGTGAAATACACTTAAAGTAAATGTGATTGTGCATTTAGAAAATCAAGTGTTTAAACACTTCGATCAAACATGTGAAATTTTTTGAGTGTAGGATGGGGAAAGGGAGAAGGAGGTTCGAAATATGATTTGCGATACAAATATTTCATTATTCCTAAGACATGAACTTATTCCTATTCAACTTGCTATCAGCAGTGTAAATATAGAATTATTACAAAGCAAATATTTAAAAAAAAAAACCCCACGCACACAAAATAAAGGCTGACTAAACGTAAATTGGTACGCCCCTCGCGCGCTGCTAGCACGCCTCTAGTGTTGGGAATCGAAAATCTTTGACACTTCTATAGAGAACAACCGGTGCAAGTGTGTCGATCGCGTTCAGAAATAACGTCAAATGGAACTCGAAAGAAGAAGAAAAATTGTACACAAACATCTTGAAAATCCGGGGTGGTCTGGTTCCATGCTGGCTAAAGTACTGAAGATACCGAAAACAACAGTTTGTCGAGTGCTCAAAACCTACAAGGAACCTTGAGTGTGGAAAGGAATCAGCGAACCTACGAAAAAAGTAGAAAGGTGCCTAGGGGCATGAACGGAAGCTTGACGTGGGACGGAACAAATATGTTGATCATTTAGTTCTTAACTCTTTCCGTTTTTGAATTGGTGGCACTAAAAAGGACCAGTGCAAGTCGATCCCGACCGGATGACGGTGGCTTAGTCATGCTGCCTATTGCGGGAAGCCTTTTCTCCGGTTGATTTGGGTGCTTTCATCGTCGTCTTCGTATTGGTGTGATGTGTGCTGTTCCACTGCTCGAAAGCAAATGACGAAGAAAACTAGTAGTAAAATTATGTTTATTTCTGTTGATTATGGTAGTTCATTGATTTATCATATTAATTGATTAGCCTATTTGGCTCTTCATCTTTGTTTAATTTGATATTCTAATTTAATATTTGCGTTCGGTTTCAACTAGTTTACAGAATACCCCTTTGGGGATTTGTTTTATTTGAATTGAAAAAAGTGATAACCTACCTAACTACGAGTATAACTTAACCTAACATGCTAGATCACGTATGATCTGATGATTTGATCTCAGACAGGTGGCTCTGAACCTTTCCAGGATGAATACTCTCCGTTCTTCTAATGTCTGAATTCCAGCCAGGAGGTGAATCTCAGAATTTCCAGTTCGCGGGGGACTGTTTAGGACCATCCTTAGGATCTTGTTCTGGATCCTTTGGAGTTTAAGGTGATGGCATTTTGCGCAACTCTCCCAGATTGGCATACCGTACTCGATTACAGGAAGGATGATTTGTTTGTAGACAGCAAGCTTATTTTTCAGGGACAGGGTTGACTTCCTGTTGATAAGTGGATACAACGATCTTATCAAGATGTTGCACTTGGTTTTCGAAAAGAAGCTTGCTGTCTAGTGTTAGTCCGAGGTACACGACCTCTTTGGACTATTCCACCACTGGTTCAGGCAGATCTTGTTATTCTCCGACGGAACAAGTCTGAGAGATTTAGAGTGTGGAAAGATAATGACCTGGGTCTTTGCCGCGTTGATACGGATCTTTCAGCTGTTGAAGTATTCAGACA